CTGTACTATACAATAATAGTATATTAATACTATACGATATTAATACTATACTATACAATAATAGTATATTAATACTATACGATATTAATACTGTACTATACAATAATAGTATATTAATACTATACAATATTAATACTGTACTATACAATAATAGTATATTAATACTATACAATATTAATACAATATTATGATATATAGACTTAAAAAATTCCAAGATTCGAGAATTGAATAATTTATGTCGCCACGTCATTGCGAACTCTTCTTTAGAAAGAAAGACTTTATTTTTCGTGCATAAACACGAATGAATCCAGCTGCAATCCAACTGCCACATAATTCACGTTTAAATAAAAGAAATCCTCGTCACTTGTAATACTCGTAAACACAATCTCGATATCGCCTTCGTTTTTTTTTTTTTTTTTCTTTTTCTACAACTTACGAGGAAGGAGAAGCGCTATTGAGAATTACGCACCGGGTTCCCTTCGTTGGAACGTAACGATCCACGTAGAGACGAGCTCGTTGGAAGAAACACGGTGAAACACGGAGCTGGGAGAAGATTGCATCACCGCGGAATGATTCCCCGATACCTGCTCTCGGAGTCGTCGAACAAACTTGTCCGTCATTAATAATAGCCGCGGATACGTATACATTTGCACGATCGAGCACGAGGAGCAGGTTTACATGGGCAAAGGAGGGCACGAGTGAATTAACGAGACCTCTGGCTCTGTCTTCGCCGCGTTGGCGAACGCGCGCGCTCCAGGTTGGCCCAGCTAAATCAGCGCCGACACGTTCAAACAGTGCCACGGCCTGTCGATCTCTCTCGATCGAGTATGCGCCGAGCTATAAGTATCACGGAATAAATTCTGAAGCGGCCACCGTTAATCGTTGCCGATCTCAATCGATCTAACGCTAATTAAACGTCGACAACGACGTGACTACGTTTGGTCTCTCTCTCTCTCTCTCTCTCTGTGTGTGTGTGTGTGTGTGTGTGAAGGTGATGCAGGAGAAGATGGATATATTGATCGACGAGCAAGAAGAAGGCAGAGAGAGTGGTTGGATCGCGAGAGACGAGGATGAACTTAATTTTCGTACCCGGCAAGGTCTTGCCACCACTTGCTCCACTCGTTTCGCCTCCTTCGGGGACTCCCTTTGACTGTTTACGCAGTATAATTAACGCTGCGCGCCGCAAACACGTTAAAGTGGATTCTATGCGGCTGATTTAGCAGGGCAAACGAGATTGCAGCGGCTGCTTCTCCCTCTCTCTCTCTCTCTCTCTCTCTCTCTCTCTCTCTCTCTCTCTCTCTCTCTCTCTCTCTTTAACTCTCCCTTACTGTTTCTGTGTCACGTTTTCGTTGCCTGAAAGGCAAAATGAAGAAAAACGAGCGGAGAAGCGATAATAACATGCACGCGCAACGATCTCGCAATCGGCGTGGTAATTTTTACGCGCGAGATGGATTTTTCAAGTTGGCGGATGCCTTGCGCAAGTATCTTCACCGATGTTCACCGATGGTCGACTGGCATTGAGGATGGTTTTTTTTTTTTAATTTCGTTTCCAATCTTGGAATTTTCTACGAAACTTGTGCAAAATTTATCACAGTAAGTTATTACAATCGTTAAACAACGCGTTTGAGTGTTCCACGACGAATTATGAATTGTGAATTTTTGTGCATTTGATATGAAAAAAAATCTACGAACTGCTCCAAGTGTGTAATATTTGCCATGTAGAGCAATTTTTATACTCTCAGAAATATTAAACGAATAACTCGGTAGTTATATTATAGACAGCAAAGATGCAAGCGAACAACATCAAAGAAGAAATTTCTTGCGCAAATATATATATGGTATGTCCCGGGTTTTTTTCCCGCCAAACTGCGAGAGCTTATTCTAGGGGCCGATAGAAGAAAAAGTTGTCATACGAAATTTGCAAATTAACGCTTTGTTAAGGAGATATAAACAAATAATGATAAATAGTTACTTACTATTTTTTAAAGTCTCATTTCAAAATGATGTTCTTCTGCTCGGATTCAAGCTTGACATCGATGAGAAACTGAATTTATTGCTCTATGCATATTTCTCGGTATCTTGTTGCGTTTTAATACGCTGCACAAGATCTTCATATGAAGTCACTTCGGTCGAGTAAACTTTTTATGTCAAAGGTAAAGTATTCCATAAGTAAAAATCGAGCGGTGTAAGATCGACACTTATTTATCATTCATTTCCAATTATGAAACAGGTGCGAAGAAAAGGAATGACTGAAATACCGAAACTCAGTAAAATACTAAGTATCTATTTTTGATTATATCTCTGTAACAAAGCGTCAATTCGCAAACTTCATGTAACATTTTTTTCTTCTTTTGGTCTTTCCCCTAGAATAAGCTCTCGCAATTTGGAGAAAAAACCCGGGACACTTCGGGAGTCGATTGTACGCCTAAAAATAATGAAAAAAAGTCATACAAATATATGTCTTATCTGTCTTCGTTCATAATAAGGAATTTTATGAACAGAGCAAACTCTAGTTTTACCAGGAATGGTATATTCAATTTTCATAATAATCATAATTGAGATGAAGAAACACACCACATGTTATTGTGCATTCAAGACATCAACACCAGTTTAGTTGAAACGTATGGGCAGGAATAATTGATAAATTTTTAATTGGACCTTTTTTTCTTGATGGGAAACTAACAGGCACA